TAATCGGCCCCCCGGACTGGCTTATATTTTCTATAATCAAAAAACTACTAGTTTTAGGCGATTTTCTTGATATTTAATATGCTTTCAACAACGTACTCCGGAGGCTATTGTCTATTCCCTACTCCAAGTAGAAACTTTAGCACTCCTGACAGTATTCTTCTTTGGAAAAGATCTACATATGTACATATGTGATACGAGCTGTATGTTACCAGTTACGGGTCCGCCGCAAGGCGCAGTGCTCTTACCACCTCTTGGAAAGAGTTATTCTTTGCGTTCGTGCGTCCAGCCAACTCTTCGGCGCCGGATTTGGACAACTCATCTGATGTACCGCCGACTTTATTATTCTTAAGCGGCATTACAAACGTAAATTGGCCCACAGCTCCTTCCGTAAAAGCTTTCAGTACTTTTGAAAGTTCACTGGAATATAGGGAATATACTCCAGCTAGCTTCTTGGACGTTGAGTGCGCTTTCAAGAATGTCAAAACAGAAGCAATGAGTAGAGCTCTGGAGGCACATGGTATCCAGAAGTTTATAGTGACAAGGATTAAGAGCAGAGTAATAAACACAGATGTAGACGTAGGGTTCGTGATCAGAAAATAATCGCCGTAAGTATTCATAGACACAAAAGGGGTGTCTGTACACTGAGGGAATCGAAGTTGTTGAAACTGCTCAAGTATGGCCACGAAGCAATCTTGAATTAACTTAAAATGGGACGGTAGAATTGGTTCATAACCGACTAAGATGCCGACACTGATTACATCAGGTCATTCTGGGATTGTCGCTTAAGGACTCTTACACGATTTCCAACTAGAGCAGAATGAGACTGTGGCCGATTGACGGGAAATGATGGCATTTCCGTCTGCACGGATGGCTCAAGATGGCTCATGGAGACGGAATTTATCGGGAGTTTCTAGGGAATTTATCGCCTGCCTAACGCTTGTAGTGTCTTTCTTTCGGATATCTTTGCCGTAGAGTTGGCTGTTTGTCTCATAGAAAACTCTAGGTTCTGTTCCAATGAAAAAAATTGACGAGTAAAACACAGCCGTTACAAACGATCTGTGGAGTAATCGTGACGGCGGTGACGTCTCAAGGTCTTTATAGCCGAGGCTTAACACGAAATAAAGGAGCTTTGGACGTTAAACAATGCTCCAACGATAGCGAATACCAACCAGTTATTTTACAGAAAGTTGGCGCGATGAGGAAGAGGACTAATCGATTCAGCATTTCCTATGTCAATGAGCAACTTTCCAGTCAAAGCGCTTCAAACACTTTGGATCACGCTTTTTCGCTAGTTTGGTAGAGATAACGGAAGTGTAAATATCGAAGCTCCACAATTTCATCAGGGCTAGCGGAGGACATTCACAATGGGCAAACTTTCGTCCGAGTAGATGCACGCCTTTCTATCCTATTATTTATTACCAAATATAGTTATTTCTTATATCAATATCCATAGCTTAAGTGCCTTAAATTTGAAAAACTTTACGAGCATTTTGCCTTCATTTCTAGGTAAAAACTTCAGTAATCAAGTGCATTTTCTACCAAAATTTTACATACATATTAAAAGTGATTAATTTGCAAGAATTTGAATTCGAAATCACTTAAAATACCACAATCTATACCAAGCAAATCTATACAAACAAATGTGCGAGCCTAAATTTTCAGACTGAGCATGTACTCGTGTGTATATATATATATGTATATCTTACAACCATGCTTACCCGAGTATCAGTATACCAACATAATCGGCACTCAACAAATTTTCGTAATTGAGATGAATGATTTGCTTTCACAACAAAAAATAAAATAAAAATTAAGACAACATTAATACATAGAGGTGGTAATGCATATGTACATACATACATATGTATGTAGATATGTACTCACATACGGCCACTAGAATTGTACAGCGCAAAGATAGCATAGAAAAGAGCAGAAATAGAAAACACTACAGAAGTCCTTAGCCACTTACGGAAATGACCATTGAGTACTGCATGGATGACCAGTTGGCTGCCCATTTGTGCAGCGTCTAGTCGTAAAAGGATACTTACAAACAGGCAATTGTTGTAAAATGAGCAGTGTATACAATGGTGCTTTAGTGTTTATTTTCCTTTGTTGTTGTTGTTGTTTGGGTCTTTGTTGCACATCATTCCAATTACAGGGATGCGTAACAGTCATTCTAGGGGCAACAGCTTAAAAACCAGTCAGAGGTACTCTCGTAAGTGCAAATTGCAGACGCGGTCAACGTATAAAAAAAGTAACAACAACAAACAACTCCTTTCCTACAGAAATACAATGGCCGGTTTGCCACCATAACCCTCCCGCCGGTAGCACACACACACATGAGACCCATTCAATCTTCATCGCAGGTTGGCACTATTTGCAACCAATTTTATTATCGTTACAAATTCACAGTGGAAGCAAGCGCATTATATGTATGTAAATATACATATGTACATAAGTCCTGATATACTTATGAACATACATACATACATATGTAGCAAGAACACTCTTCTCGTCTTAGTTAATACGAATCGTAGCGACGTGTTGTAAACTGAACGAACGCAAATCCTCGACCGTAAACTGTCTGGCATACCATTGCATTGTGTAAATAAATTGCTCCTTTTAAGTTGTTGCATGCAACAAGCCGGCTTTTGTTTCACCTTCACCTCGAGCTTGATGTACGGTTACTTTTTACATACGCCACTCATTGTTGCTACACATACTACAAGTACGAGTACTTATGTATGTATGTACAATCACTACAAGTAAGATCGTAAAGTGTTTGTTTTTTTTTGTTGTTTTATTGCCAGTTGTAGTTGTTGAGGTATCACATTCGCTGTATCCTATGAGCACTCTGTGTTACTAATGAAAGGTAGTAGTAGTAGTTGCAATAAAAATTTGTCTATCCAACAGTTAGGTATGTATTTGAGTAGAAATTGGCTACTCGTATAAGAACACAGGGCGGAGTGAGTGCAGCTGCATTGCAAAAATACTAAGCGGAATGTGCACTGGCTGGCAAGAGTTGTAGGCAATTATGATGACTGCATTTCGTAGATGCATTTTCGTTCTTAAGCTTTGCGGCTGCATTTCCAATCAAGAGCGACATTGTGACTTTTTAGATATCTTCCTAATTTGTAGAGCAGGTACCTAATTTTTGAAGTCATTGCAAACCGACTTCCGTTACTAGTACTAGAAAATTGGTCATAAGAAGTGCACTGCTGCTGTAGACTCAGTTCTTTGAACTGTACTCAGTTTGGTGCGTTGCAAATATGTATCGATAAGTACTTCTATACAAAAATTTGTCTTACAATCAGTGTATCTACGTTTTTATTAACTATCTCCGAAAATCACCAATAGCGCCACATATTTTCATACATGCATCCATCCATGTATGTATGTACATAAGGGTGACCCAAAAAGGTTTATAATGTTCGGCTCTCACCCCAAAGGATTTATCTAAATGAAAAAAAACAATAACCGTGTTTTTTTTTTGTTAAAAAAAATTATAATTAATCAAAGCCCATGAAGTCTTTCATATATTTTATATGGGGAAAAACACTTTTTCGTAGAAATGGTATTGAATTCTTGAAAACCAAATTTTTTCTGTTCTCTTTAGAAGGCTTCCAACAACATTACCCAAATGTTTATTTAACCATTTTTTAATATTAAATATATTATAGGTCCCCCAAAAACCTCAAAAATTGCAATGGGGCCCATAAAATCGTTAGAATTAAAAAAAAATGGTAAAATAAACACTTCTCCTGAAGAGAAGTTGAGTTTTTCGATAGAAAAATATTGATTTTCATGAATTCAATACCATTTCTACGCGCAAAAGTGTTGTTCTCCCATATAAAATATGTATATTGGAAAACTTCATGGGCTTTTAGGCAGTTCTAAATATTTTTTTTAAGAAAAAATACGAGTATTCTTTTTTTCTATTTACGAAAATCCTACGTGGTGAGAGGTTAACATTTAAAAAATTTTTTTGGAGCCCCCTAATGTACATACATTATGCATATGTGCATCAAACGGCTTCGTCAAAATCGATTTTTATGCAAGAAATGATGGCTAGTACGAAAATTGTATACATATCTGCATAAGGGTGGGCGGAAATCCAATTTTTGAGAATTTTTATTGGTAACAGCATTAATATGTTTCATTATGCTCTAAAAAATCTATGTAAGAGTTGAAAATTTTCAGTCAATTTCTTAAGTTTGTCAACGTTATTTTTCTTTGCAATCTTGTCAAAAATCACCGAAAAATTTTTAATATTTTTTTTTGCTCCTTTAATTTTTTTTTAGTAGTTTATATTCTGCCTACATTGATAAATAAAGCCAAGTCAACTTGTTTTTTTTTTTCTTTCCAGATAAATTGTCTTGCTCCCCCACCCACAACTTGTGCGCCACCATTTTTTCACGCCAACGTAGATGCCCTACGAGTCTCTCGTGGGCCCCAGTAGACTCCAGCGCCACCGGTCGAGTAATTTTTTTCATAAAAACCTTTTCTTGTAACTTCAAATACAGCAAAATAAAATGAGTTAAATCGGTTAAAATTGCATATCGCTACCCTTAGGTGACGATATGTACTTGATCCCAAAATTTGTTGTTTGTAAGATAAAATATGTTTAGTCCTAACTTCGAAAATAACATAAGCTGCATTTAATTTTTTTCTTTTTTATGCCACTTGCGTTACTTTCTCGTATTTATTAATTACAATTCAATGAAACATTTCCATTGAAAATAAACTAGCGATCAGTCTGACGCCGCAAAATGCAAACATATGGTTCCAACTAAAAATAATTACTTTTTTTTTGTTGCTCATTTAGTAATTTTTTCTACTGAATTCTAGTAGGCATAAATAACTGTTAATTAAAATTTTCCGACTAAACTGCAATGAATATGAAGTATGTATATTCTGTGTTTATTGTTGCAAAAAAGTTAATCAAGTTCCAGAAAGTGTATTTTAGAAGTAAATTTATACATAAGCACATACATATCGTCGTTTAAAGTGCAAAACCGCGTATCAGCAAAATGCAAAACCGCGTATGTGAAGTTGTAGAAATTATTTTCTAGAGCTTAAAAACACTCATATTTCAAAATGGTTCTCTGTTTTATAAAGCAATCGCATTTCTGGCTAGTATATTTCAGGACGAATCGATAAGGATTGAGCCAAGAGTTTATGTGAGCAAATCCAATTTTTGGCAGCCAATGTCAGTTACGCGGTTTTGCAGAATGACGATACGCGGTTTTGTACTTTAAACGACGATATACATTAGTCTGGGTCGATTTTGTATGATTGTTTTGTAATAGTGATAATAGTGATAATGGGCCTCATGAATAAAAAATGAGCTTAAGCT